GGGACGGCCCTTCGCGGCCTTTGCGGGCGTTTTTGCGTTGCTTGAATTTCAGAGGAGCGAGGATAAAGTTTTTAAGGGGGGGGGAGGGGAACCGCGCAGATGGGAAGCTTCGCGGTAGTAACTAAATCAGAGCAAGGAAAACGCCGCTGGGCAGCTGCAGGAGCAATTGTATTTGACGTCAAGAATACGCTTTGTACAGCACTGCATCTTTTTTTCGCCCCTCAGACAGCTAAACGGGAAACGCGGGTTTTGCCAGAATAAGCAGCTACCCTAATTTCCCTGCATATACCTACATTACGTGAGAGATGTGGTCACTTGTAAACACTCTTTTCAGAAATTTAAACGTTTAGAAGGTTTTTAATGAAAATTAGGGTGCTACAGTTAGACGGTTTGTTTATGCTAATATGTGGCAGTTTAATGATACGGAAAACTATTTCTTTCCAGAAGTAATTCACCCGATTCATGGGCAAAACATCTGATATTCTACCAGCAAAGCGCTCTTCCCCATAGCGATAACTACATAAAAATATCCTGTATTAAAAAAACAGAAGGAAAAAAAAGTCTCTGTATCAGTATTGCTCTTAGATGAGTGTTTCTGGCTGTAATACATTAAGCTGACTTTTTTTTTTTAAACTTTTATTCCTGAAAATGGCTTTTCGATTCAATTTTTCTATTGATGAAAATGAGAACAATGAACCAGACACTCACGATAAGACGGACTTACAGCTGTGCTCTCCAAGACACAAGCAGGAATCCACAGAAAAGAGCAAGCAAACTGCTGAGACCGTAGCAGACTCCAGCCCAAGGCTGGGTACTGATAAGCACCAAGATGAGACACCACCAAAGAAAGAGTTCTGCTGTAAAGCGGCCAAGGAGCACGATATTCCTGAAGATCTCGACAAAGTATTGGAAAATAAAGTCATGGAAACAGTATCAGACCTGTATTACATAAATATGTCTGTAGTGGAAATGACGTGTTTGGATGGTACCGATGGAGAAGGCATTGTGTCTAAAAGTGTTGCTTCTCACTCCGACCTCATCCCGGGAGTCTATGAGGGAGGACTGAAAATCTGGGAATGCACCTTTGACCTCATAGACTACTTTTCCGAGGCTGAAATACAGTTTACCAACAAGACGGTATTGGATCTCGGCTGCGGGGCTGGACTGCTGGGAATAGTTGCTTTACGGGGTAAAGCTGACAAAGTCCATTTTCAGGACTACAACAGCACAGTGATTGATGAAATAACCTTGCCTAATGTGGTGGCTAACTGTAGAAGTGAAGGCAATAGGATGGGCAGCGGAGACGACAGAAAAACTAGCAAGCCGCCTTCGAAGAGGCCCAAGAAAGCGGAGTGCTCACCTGATGCGCTCACCAAATGCAGATTTTTTTCTGGAGAGTGGTCTGAAGTCAGCCGACTCCTGTTAAGCAGCAACAAACCCTTTTCAAAGTATGATATAATTCTCACATCTGAGACCATCTATAATCCTGGCTACTACGGTGCTTTGCATGATACACTGGCTCAGCTCTTGGATAAAAACGGCTGTGTGTATTTGGCAAGCAAAGCACATTATTTTGGGGTTGGCGGTGGTATCCACCTCTTTGAGGAATTCACTGTAGAGAGAAATGTGTTTAGGACCAGCATAGTTAAAATAATTGATAAAGGACTGCAGCGATGTATTATGGAAATGTCCTTTAAAGATTCCAGTTAAAATTCAAGCACTGGTCCTTCAAAAATACCTTAAAGACAAAATGTTTTAATCCTCTTATCTCTTTGCTTTTTCCTCTGTTGAGTTATTCTGGTTTGACAAATTAAGGATGCTCGTTATTGAAATGTTTGACAAATTCTGATGTCTGACTAGAAGTGAAGGACTCTTCTGATCCTGGTTTTGCATAGAAAAATAGAGTTCTGCTTAAACTGGCATCTGTTTATGCCAATTGTCATTTACATGTATTTAAAAATTAAGCAAGTCACTGTCCCCAGTCCCCCCCTCTCATTCTTTGGCAGTGCCAGAACTGTACGTCACAGGAGCGGCTGCTGAGCGCAGCCTGAAGGAGATCATTTAGCATCCTACTATAGTGCAGGAAGGGGCTCTCAAGGGTTAGGCTCCCAACTCAGACATGCTTTAACTGCAGCAACAGATTTTGGAATCGACCACATACCTGCGTGCTCTGCTGCTTTGCCACCAGAGGGAGATGTGATGATATTTATCACTTCTGTTCTATTCTGCTAGCAATCTCGCAAGTCTTTGTAATGTTTCCGTATGTAATGCACACATGACTTTTATTCAAGCCTTTGAAAAGGTGTGCCAGAGAATATTTACTAGTGTGGTCTGTAAATTTTCACATTCAGATTTTGACATCACTCTTAAGAAAATTTCAGCAAGTAATTGGAAATAGCCATACTGGTTTTAGAAATGAATAAAACTGATTTCTGTTTTAGAAGCCAAGTTGAAAGAAGATTCTACACAGGAGAAGTTCCTTAAAACGAACAACCTAAAAAACTACAAATGCAGTCCAGGAAACTGGAGGATGACAGAACTGACCTTTAGGTGACAAGTGGGAAAGGAGATAAACCGCGCTTTTGTAGCGGATTGCCAACTAGAGTGCTGTACTGGGTTGGGGTTTGGGGATTTTTTTTTTTTTTACAAGATTTTTCCAGAAATTAAACTGCCCATACACTATGACCCGTTTTCAAAACTTGGAGGGGGATACTGCTGGGGGTACTACTGAACACTCGCACCTCTTCAATCTTTTCAGCAGTTTGGCAGGGCAGCAAGCGTTCCATGTACAAGTCACTCTTGTCCTAGGCTGAAGATAGTGATGTTGCTGAAGAAATTACCTTACCAAAAATGCAAACAAACCCAAAGAACTACAAAACCGGGTCCTGAGTGCTTGGTGTCACCAACAATTCACACAAAAAAATCCATTGCATGTTTTGTCTTAACCGAAACTGGACAAAAAGCTATCACGTAACTCTTAACAGGTACATCAAAGCTACTGCTTACGCACTGCTTTATTGGGTGCCCTTGCAGAAATATAAACTTAGAGACAGTCAACCACTGGAGTAAACCAGATGCAAGGATAATCCGTGTAGGGGAGAAAGGACAATAGTCTGAGGGGATGGAAAGAAACTTATTAAAGCAGTGACCTAAATCACTTTAATTATTGCATAAAGTTCCCGTCATTGCAGGCTATGAAAGTCAACTGCAAGATTCCAATTTTGACTGTGTTGCTATTAAGATAGTCATAGAGGATTTCCTGTACTTTACAGAAGAGCCTTAACAACTACTATTGTTTGAAACACAATTCTAAGTAGACTAATTTAAAGGGATGCTTTGGAAACTACTGAAGTTGCTCTTTTATAGGAGAGAGGGGGGGGAAAAAAAGCAGTCCGTTGTGCCATGGCTGTGATTGCACTTGGGAATTTTTCTGCATCAACTCTGAAACTTACTGATGCTAGACAACTGCTGACTACAGATTGAGGAACAAAAGGAAGTTTTTGCTTTGGCAGATCAATAAAGTACTGTTAACAGTTCTTTTTTGTCAAAACTGGGAAGTTGGAAACAAAGTGATGACCACTTGCCATTTTTCAAACCTCAGTTGTAAGACAAATCGTGGCTTGCACACAGTGACTGAATAGCTTGTTCTACACCTGCTAGGTCTAGTGCTGTTTCAGAGAACAGTACCTGAAGTAATAATAAATATTGACCACTATGACAATGAATATGGTTAAGAACAAGTATCTCATGTATTTTTTGATTAATGAAGGTGGTACTTAAAATCTTCTACCATAATGCTTCCTCTTGAAAATATTCCACAACCAAACTCACTGTCTTGGGTTTAATATACTACTCCTTTGCTCAGCATCCTCATTTTATTCTTGGATTGCTCAAACATAGCTCTGTTTTTGTGCAAATACAGAATCAGATTTTTTAGGACTTTCAAGTGAAGACTGCTAAGCAGAGCCACAATCTCACAGCGATTGCACACCTGCAAAACAGGAAACCCCACACAGTATAATTAAGTTCCCATTTCAGAACTACAGATGAGAGTTAATAAAGGATGTTTTTCTCAGGTGAAATCAGCAAAATTAGCATTGGGATTTCCATAATTCCAGATGAATCCTATTCTATTCTATTCTTAAAATTCAGCAGATGAATTCTGCTTCCTCTCAGCATGTAACACTTAGTTTTGTAGGCTGGTGGTTCTGTTTGTGTTTCAACATCAAATAATACCAGTTTCCCTAATCTACATTAAGGCTTTCTCTACCTGCCAAATCGTCACCACCCTAGTGACCAGTTTCCTGCTTCTCTTTGTGACCTGGAATAAAAATCTTTCACTCACTTGTAATACTTGTACATATTACTTAATAGCTAGGGAAATTAGCATTTCCCCAAATGACATTGCGGTAGAAAGATAGCAGAATTGGGAGGACCCTCAAAGTATTTGTTTGATGACACAATAAACCTTTACATCAGGCCCAATTTCTTGTATGAAGAAACAAAGTAGAGGTCAGCTGGTAACTCAATTTATCAGCTCATTCCAAATCATTCCCCTCACCCCATCCCCTCGCTTTTTAAAAGAGTCATCACAAGAAATCCTGTCTAAATTATGTCTTTCCTGTAAGTATGGTGGAGAGAAGCATTAAAATCAGTCCTAAAACGTCTCAGAAAACGAAATTAAAAAGCTTGTTTGTTTTAACAGGCACTATCCTTAACTGATTACTTCCCTTTGAAGACTATTTGCTAGTTTCGGGAAACGAGGCTATTAAAAAAGTCACTTTTGTATACTGGCACCAATTAAATGGCATCCGTTACAGTTATTTTACTAAAGCTTAGGGGAAAAAACCCATGAGGAAAATCAAAGTGGGAAGTGCCCAATTTGCAATTTGTATGCTATTCTTGGTTACTAGGTACACAGGCATTTAATCATGTTCTGAAATCAAAATCTTGTTAAGAAAAATCAAACCTGCAATCAGTGTTATCATGGCATTTGAAGTGGTGCAGCCAGACAACTATTGCACAAGAGTGTAAAGACAAACAAACAGCAGATGCAAAAGCACATAGAGGCGCTGGAGGGGAAAGTCCAGGCTGCACGTGGGGGGAAGCAGGTGCCAACCAAGAGACCTGCGGCACCAGGTTCAAGAGATCCTGCTCCCAGGTGATTATTGGGATGGAGATACAAGGAATGGACTGAAAGGTTTGAGGATGAGAACAGGAAATCTCTCTCTGCCCAACCAATCAAAACAAAGATGCAGAAGGGTGACATAAGATGGATAATTGCTGTCATAAGGCAGTAACAGCAGGATTTTTTTTGGTGATAGAAACTGGACTGAAGATTCTCAAATTTCATAGTTTGTACTTTAAGAGTCACACGCACATTGAAAAGAAAAAGCCACTGTATACCACCAGATACTGGCAGATAAGCGCAGTAGGAACCACAGCAAAGGGAAGAACCAGGATTTATATACAAATGCCTCTTGAAGACTGCAAGTCAACAATGTAAGCATAACAAAAGGTACTCCCTTGAAATCCACAACAGCATTAAAGGAAGACTGGCAGGAAACAAAAAAGTGAGAATTGTAGCAAGTAACTTCACAACAAATGAAGGGCAACATCCTGCCACAACAGGAGGAAGCAGGTGCTGTAAGTTAATTCAGACACAGCCTAGGTGTACTGGGTCTGGCTGGGAGGTAGTTAACTATAAGATAATTATTGCTATTAAAAAAAGAAAAAAGCCTCATTATACTCATGGGGAATAAAAGAAGTACAGGGGAATCAGAATGAAACAAGTATTGTCAGAATTTGACATTGCTATCAGTCTACTATAGGGAAGAGTCTTACAGGAACACAAAAGATCTTGATCATTGTGTGGAACAAATATTGAATTTTCAAAACCATGGAGTAAATTGAAGATTTAGATCATTGGTGAAGAACTGTAACAGTCAACCCTCCCCTCCCCCCCTATTTTTGTAAATGTGGATAAGAAAGTCAAACAGCCTAAACAGCAACAGAAAATAAAGGAAACAGAAAACACTGCGGTCAAAAGACCAGGGAACAGGTTTGGTCCGGTGGTGTTTAAGTTGATGGCAAAATCCTGATGTATCCTACAATATATCAGCGACACAGGATTGGATGAAAACAAACTGGAGGTAAGATGATGTGGCACTGTTTAATTAGATGGCATGTCAAAAGGAGAGGAAAAAGGCTTAGAACTGCTGATTCTGCACAAAGGAATGATCTGAAAAATAAGATATATCTGGGGATTACTAACCATATTATTAATTACAGCAGAGTCCAGTTACTCCAGATTTATGGTAACATACACAGAAGACACATTCAATTTTATTTATCAAAGTACAGCTCACAGCATTGCCAGTGTTGAACTGCTTGTTGTGTTTATAAGTAGCCAATTTATTTCTTGTCATCTGACCATGTAAATTCATAATCTGTATACACTTTTTTCAGTATCTCTACAGTCACCGAATGATCTGCTTTTCCATAGCCCTGCAAGAAAGAACAAATGCTTATTAGACACATACAGAAAGTAAGTCCACAGAACCATTCAGTTCTTGTCAACACAAATTACCCAGTTATGATTTGATACTTCAAGTAGTTCACATACAAATCAAATACAGGTTCTAAAAGTTATTCTTGCAGTATCATGTTTTATTTTTCTATTGTCCTCTCCAATTCCCCCCCAACCCAAGTTGCAGAAAATAAATGAGATGGGGTCAAGCAATCTCAAGTAATAGAGGATGCATTTTTCACATCATGATTTCTCCAGCAGAAAGCTTGTTTTAAAATGTTCCCAACACCTCAGCCACCATATTTATTGAATGTTCTTTTCAACAACAGAGATTGCATTGAACCACTTTAATGTATGAGCATACAAACATCTGATTTGGCTCAGCTGAAGGAAAGGGAATAAGCCACCACATGTGTGAACATTTGAGTACTATTCTAGCCACTAAAGAAATCAGTCTTCATGTTTTATTTATTTGCAATCTTTCCTTAGCTGCTAATGGTGTAATTTTAAATATCCGTGCTCTTCAGCCACTGCAACTCCAAACTAAGGCAAGGTCAGATGACCCATGTGATTTTTTAACCCTCATTTAAATCACTGATCAGTGTTACTCTTTCACTGAAATTTAAGAGAGTTGTGGTCGAAGGTGTCTTTCCATTATTGTCTTAAATGATGAGTTATCTTGATTTTGTTATTTCAGAACTACAAGTAAGTTTTTCCCTGTCAAAAAACCTTTACTGTACAACAGTGCAGTCTACTGATAAAAACCTGTGATTTCCAGGTTACTTTCTTTTTCTAGTAATATTTCATGTGAAACTTAACTTGGAAGACTGAAAAACGAGCTCAAGATTGCATTATCAAACAAAACATGTACTCTTACTCATCACTGACTCTGCCCCAAGAGGAACAGCTTAAGTAAACCAGCATTTAAACTGCACAGGTTAAAATTATTTATGCATTATAAAATCAAAACTTTTCAAAAATACCAGATGATGTAGTTATGTCAGAAATACTGTAGGTTTATACTGTCAGTTGTAAAGCAACAGACCTACAGATCACTCTTGTCTTGGTAATCACTCTGAAGACCCCATCCAGCTTTGCAAATAATAGCACAGCATCCACTTAAAAAGAAGTCAACGACTATTTCTCTGGTTTTCATAAAACACCAAGATAGTTCTGTTTTAGAGTCTGACAACGAATCTCCAAGTAAAGAGAAGCATTAAACCAATGTAATTAATACTCTTAACTTCTGACCTGCTACTGAGGTCTTCTGAACCCTCCAGGTCTCTGCCTGACAGAAGCCCTCGTGGTAATAAAACTCTGCTTTTATGAGGTGCTCATCTGTAAGCATCAAGGTACCAAAAGCAGAGAAACAAGGTATTTTCCATAGACACTGCATTACAAGAGCAGGAGTTGACCACTGCCTCTAACACTAAATTGGCAGCTGAATTAATAATACGGGTGTCAAGTCTCATCTAAAAATGCAGTTATGATGAGGACCTACAATCACAAGAATTTAGTAGAACAAGCGTTATACACTGCCTTCCCACCCCATACAAATCCTAAAGAGTTTTTTTTTTTTCCTTACGATTCCAGGTGGCAAGAGTCATCTTGGAACAAAAGCAGCACTAACACTTAAAAACACTTAACACATTCAAGGCCCAACCTTCACTGCTCATCTAAGGTAAGCAGATTTGAAGTAACCATCATTTTCTATAAAAAAATTACATTAACCTAATAGAACTATTTTCTTCTTGTCTACATTAGAAGTCTAGAATCTTTACTCATAGTATTACTACAGAAGCAGCTACGCTTCATCACAGAGCAACACCAGAAACACACTATAGTATGTTCCCTAAATTCAAGAAATCATTACCACTTACTAAGTCTTTCATAAAGAAACTGAACGTACACAGAACAGTAACAGGTAACAAAAATGCTCTAGTTTCTGTATTCTTGGAAGTTACTTTTATTCCTTACACTGAGGGTGGTGAAACACTGGCACAGGTTGCCCAGAGAGGTGGTAGGTGCCCCATCCCTGGAAACATTCAAGGTCAGGTTGGATGGGGCTCTGAGCAACCTGATCTAGTGGAATATATCCCTGCTCATTGCAGGGAGGTTGGACTAGATGACCTTTGGAGGTCCCTTCCAACCCAAACCATTCTATGATTCCCACAAAATGCATTTATGTGAAACTACATCTTCACTTACTAAAAATTCACCACACCTCAACTGGGTCTACTCTTCTCACCCAAAACATACACAGAACAACATTCACAATTTAGCTGGTCACTACCAACCAACATTTTTATTGGCAAATAAAGATCACACAATAGCTGGATCAAGACCCTGTGGCTACAAATGGGCTATTCCTGCTCTAGCAGTAGGACTAAAAGATTCTGAATCAAGAGATGCTAACTTCCATTTTTAGTCTTGATTATAACTTAATGTTGGTATTACGCAGCATTAAGTTATCTATTATTTTTGCTTTGGTCTCCTGCCCTTAAAACTGGTGTTTTTCTAATCTATCTCACAAGTAAGCCAGGCAAGTCTTCCAGTTAATGTTTACATTGTGATTCAAATTGCCAAAAGCCACCATACTATAAAACAAATATCCCAGAACATCAGAGATGAAAGGATTTGAAGGAATACAAGAGATGCACTTACTGTAGAGAGCCCAAATACCCTAATTTTCTTGTCTTTGCTATTATGATCAATTTTCCCTCCTCCAAGGCACTTGCACTCATATCCCAGCTTTTCCATTTCAGGGCTTACTTTTTCAAATATGTGATCTGCACAAGAAGAATGGTTAGAGCCATTAGAATATACACTAGGCATCAAATACTCTAGAAGTCTTCAGCTATTTTCCACTCATTTTTCTCCAGTTCCCTTCCTTCACCTGCAAGAGGGAGCTTTCTCTTGACACATAGAAAAGCTGCAATTAAGGTTCTCTATTTCAGCTTTTTACTTAGTTAACACATCTCACTCTCCTAAATGAGGTTTATCAGGTTTGGAAATGACATCTGACAGAGATACTGACCCGCTTTTTATATTCACATGAGGCGCCTATAAAGTGGGGGAAAAAAGGGGCTTCAGAGCTACGCCCGCTGACACCAGCCACGACAGGCCAGGAGCTCCGCCTCAGGTTCGCTTGGGAACCGGCGGCCACGTCCCGCACCTGAAGGACGTTGCCGCGGGGCCCCGCGAACGGTCGCTTCCCCCGCCCCCCGCCTCCCTGCGGCCCGTCACCCACTGTGGAATTCGGCCGCCTTGGTGCCGCGGACGATGTCCCGCTGCTCCTCGCCGCCCGGGCGCTGCAGGCGCACCAGGATGT